GAGCGGCTCTTGCTCTCCGGTCGGGGGTCATTTATTGGATTGATCATGTTTACCTCTTTAGCGTATGCCCTCTTTTTCTTTCAAGTCAACAAGTGCATGCTCTAGATGCATTAGCATGCAGGAAAGGCGATCCGCGAGCTAGTCCTTCAAAACCTCTGCTCGCTCCACATGGAGAGTCCTTAAAGTGTCTGAGAGAGTTTGCATTAATTACACCAGAAACAGCTAGAGCCGCACTGAATGTAATGAGTCAGCCATATACGACTCGAGCTGAATGCAATTAACGTATGCAAAGAAAACACCAATGATATTTACTTAAGCATGTAAAACATGGTTTGCTCATTGTCTTTAAACTGAGCTGATGCTTTTTGGGTCATTTGGGTGTAAATGTGCTTTGAAGAACTCTGGATGTTGTGTAAACAGTTTGAATTAGTGTCCTTATGTAATGATGATGGCCTGGTTGTGTAATGTTAAAGTATGCATTCATTGTAATGGCATGAGGCATGTTATGTCACTTTCAGTTTTTACTTCAGCCCTTTAGATATTTTTTTCAGCTTTTTTGCCACCCTTTATGGATGCCAAACTAGAAATGTTTGTGTTTTTAAATTCATATTGTACTGGATATTATTTACGATTATTATTATGCCTCTAATTGCAGTGATTTAGCCATTAGGCATTTTATTTTACTTTATGGAAAAAAAATGTAATGTAAGTGAAACAAAGCTGTTGCATAAATTCATGCACACATAATAACATTGCGCATACTGGTTTTTTTTTTATTAATAAAAATTATTTCCTGAATGTGTTATACCATTAATTACAAACAAATGAATGAATGAATTAATTAATAAATAGTATTTTTTTATTATAATTTCTGTTATTCTTTCTGTTTATTGTGATGTAGATCTGAGTGAAATGGCTTCTCTAATGAGAAGAAAAATGTATGGGCGGGAACTGATTTTATCAATCAGGAATTGATTGAATCATTAGATTGTTGTTGTTTGCTAATTGCTGCGATCTGGTGACAGGAGGGAAGAAGTTGTATTCCTGCCTTCGTGCCAGTGATCTCGTCATCAGAGAAGAGATGTATTTGCAAGTTTTTTTTTTTTAAATCTCTCTCTCTCTCTCTCTCTTACCCTTATGCATTTGAATTATCATAATTTTTATAACATACAATAATTAA